CTAAATAAAGCAGACATGTGTACCCAAGTAAACATATACTGTATCCTAAGTAGAGCAAACATGTGTCTAAAGTAAAACAACAATGGGTGCCCAAGTAAAGCAGGGCATCTTCCCTTGTAAAGGAGACACTGTTTCTAAAAAACGACAGTGTGTGCCCAATAACGAGATATTGTGTTTAAAATGCAGACAGTGTGGCCCAAGTAAAGCAGTACTGTGTGCCTAATAAGCAGACAGTGTGTGCCTAAGTAAAGCGTATTTTGTGCCTAATAAAGCGACAGGTGTTTTCCCTTTGTAAAGGGGACGTGTGGTCTAATAAGCAGGCGGGGGGCCCAAATAAAGCAGACAGCGTGGCCTAAATAAAACAGACAGGTGTGCCCAAGTAAAAAAGACGTGTGTGCCCAAATAAAGCAGAAGTGTGTCCCCCAAGTAAAACGACAGTGTGTGCCTAAATAAAGCAGACAGTGTGTGTAAGTAAAGAGCAGTGTGGCTAATAAAACAGAAAATGAATGCCCGGCGCAGTATCAAACATTCATACATCTTCGTGTTTTATTTACTGTTTTATTTTTTTCCTCGACAGCAGCTATGATCCTTGTGGGTTTAAGCTTTATTTTTTTTTTATTATTTAATAATCATCTAATTGTGTCTCTAAAGAGTATTAATGTTTCGTTTCACTGTACTCAATTGTTCACTTGCATAATAACCCCCAAGAATTTCGTTATTTGTGTTGAATATCGTCTAATGTAAAAAGGAAAAATTTAAATTTTGAACTAATTAATAACTCTGACGAAATTAATTTTCATTTAAAGTGATGTTCTTTTTTTATTACTTCCATATATATCTGTGTTATTTGTTAGAATTAATTTTATTTTCTGTTTAATATATCTTCCCCTATCTTGGTTTAAAATTAGTAAAATTTTTAATGTAATTTTATTTTTAAAATTTGGTTTAAGTTTGCCCAAGTGTTTTGTATAACGAGGTCATTCTAGTAAAATTAAATATAAACAACCCCAAAAATTTGTGGGAAACACTGAATTTTGCACAAAAAAAATTTCATAGAAAAGTTTGATGCAAATGTTTTGTTAACCCGAAGCCGAAGACTAAGTACTTTACACTTCGAATATTATTGTTCAACAGTGTTTCCAAGTGTTGCACAAATTTGCACAAGTGTTGCACAAATGTTGCACAAGTGTTTTCCCCGGGGGGTTGCACAGGTGTTACACAAGTGTTACACAAGTGTTACACAAGTGTTTTACAAGTGACAAATTTTTCACAAGTGTTTAAAAAAGTGTTGCACAAATGTTGCACAAATGTTGCCAAGTGTTAACAAGTGTTGCACAAGTGTTACAAAGTGTTACCAAGTGTTAACAATGTTGCACAAATGTTACACAAGTGTTACACAAGTGTTAACAAAGGTTGACAGGTGTTGCACAAGTGTTGACAATGTTAAACCCAAATGTTGCACAAGTGTTTCCAAGTGTTTTCACAAGTGTTTTTACCCAAATGTTGCAAAGTTTACACAAAATGTTGCACAAGTGTTGCCAAAATGTTAACAGTGTTGACAAGTGTTGCACAAGTGTTACACAAGGGTTTTTGAAAAGTGTTACACAAGTGTTGCACAACTATTTAAAAGTTTGCAAAGGTTACAAAGCGTGCACAAGTGTTTAAAGGTATTACACAAGTGTTGCACAAATGTTTCCAAAGTGTTGCAAAGGTTCACAAGTGTTGCACAAGTGTTACCAAAATGTTACACAAGTGTTGCACAAGTGTTACAAAGTGTTTCACAAATGTTTAAATGTTAAAAAGTGTTGCACAGGGTTGCAAAGTGTTGCACAAGGTTACACAAGTGTTTCCAAGTGTTCACAAGTTTTCAAAGTTTACACAAGTGTTTTGCAAAATGTTAACAAATGTTGCAAAGTGTTGCACAAGTGTTTCACAAGGTTGCACAAGGTTGACAAGTGTTAAAAGTGTTGCACAAGTGTTTCACAAATGTTGCACAAAATATTGCACAAGTGTTGCACAAGTGTTACACAAGCGCTGCAAAAGTGTTCACAGGTATTACACAAGTGTTGCCAAAGGGGGTTTAAAAGTTTGCACAAGTGTTTCACAAGTGTTGCACAAGTGTTACACAAGTGTTGCACAAGTGTTACACAAGGTTAACAAGTGTCCAAAGTGTTGCACAAGTGTTACACAAATGTTGCACAAGTGTTCACAAGTCTTACAAAAAAGTTCACAAAAGTGTTAAACATGGTTTCACGAGTGTTCAAGTGTTACAAAGTATTACACAAGTGTTGCCAAGTGTTGACAAAATGTTTCACAAGTGTTGCACAAGGTTACACAAGTGTTGCCAAGTGTTTCACAAGTGTTACACAAGTGTTGCACAGTGTTACACAAGTTTACAAAAAGTGTTGCACAAGTGTTTCACAAGTGTTACACAAGTGTTACACAAGGTTGCACAAGTGTTACTCAGTGTTGCACAAGGTTGCCACAAGTGTTTACAAAGTGTTACACAAGTCTTACCAAGTGTTTACAAATGTTACACAAATGTTACACAGTGTTTCACAAGTGTTAACAAGTGTTACACAAGTCTTACGCAAGGGTTCCCCAAATGTTGCACAAGTGTTTTAAGTGTTACACAAACATTACAAAAGTGTTACACAAGTGTTGCAAAGTGTTTCACAAGTGTTTAAAAGTGTTTGCCAAAGTGTTGCACAATCTTACACAAGTGTTGCACAAGTGTTACACAAGTGTTACCAAGTGTTACACAAGTGTTGACAAGTGTTACCAAGTGTTGCCAAGTGTTGACAAAATGTTCACAAGTGTTACACAATGTTTCCAGGGGTTTTCACAAGTGTTGCCAAGTGCAAAGTGTTTCCAAATGTTTTCACAAGTGTTACACAAGTGTTACAAAAAAGGGTTGCACAAGTGTTACACAATGTTTGCCAAGTGTTGCACAAATGTTTAAAAGTGTTGCCCCAAGTGTTGCACAAGGTTACACAAGTGTTGCCAAGTGTTTCCCAAAAGGGTTCACAAGTGTTGGAAAATGTTTCACAAGTGTTACACAAGCGCCGCACGTGTTACAAAGTGTTAAAAGTGTTGCCAATGTTTTAAAAAGGTTTCAAAGGTTGCCAGTGTTGCCAAGTGTTTCACAAATGTTGCACAAGTGTTTTCAAAGTTTACAAAAAGTGTCACACAAATGTTGCCCAAAAGGTTTTCACAAATGTTGCACAGTGTTGCAAAATTTTTTCAAAAATGTTTACAAGTGTTCCAAGTGTTTCACGAGTGTTACACAAGTGTACACAAGTATTACGAAGTTGCAAAGTGTTGCAAAGTCTTACACAAGTGTTGCACAAGTGTTCAAAGTGTTTAAAATGTTGACAAGTGTTACCAAGTGTTGCACAAGTGTTAACAAGTCTTAACCCGTGTTAAAGTGTTACACAAGTGTTACACAAGTGCCAAGTGTTACACAGTGTTGGAAAGTGGTTACTCAAGTGTTGCACAAGTGTTGCACAAGGTTACACAAATCTTCACAAGTCTTACCCAGTTTTTGCACAAAGTGTTTCACAAGTCTTCACAATGTTGCACAAGTGTTAAAAAGTGTTTCACAAAATGTTTTAAAAAGTGTTTTTAAGTGTTTAAAAAGTCTTAGCAAATGTTACCAAGTGTTGCCAAGTGTTAAATAATGTTAACAAAGGGTTTCCAAGTGTTACCAAGTGTTGCACAATGTTACACAAGTGTACACAAGTGTTGCACAAGTGTTGCAAAGTCTTACAAAGTGTGCACAAGTGTTACACAGTGTTACACAAGTTTACACAAGTTTTCCCAAAATGTTGACAAAATGTTACCAAAATGTTCCAAGTGTTGCCAAATGTTGCCCAAGTGTTACACAAGTGTTGCCAAGTGTTGCACAAATGTTACGCAAGTGTGGCAAAAGTGTTTCACAATTCTTACCAAATGTTGCACAAGTGTTGCACAAGTCTTATACAAAAGGGGTTTCCAATTTTGCACAAGTGTTCACAAGTGTTGAACAAAATGTTGCACAAGTTCACGCAAGGTTTCACAAGTTTGCACAAGTGTTATGAAGTGTTGCACAAGTGTTTCACAAATCTTACAAAGTGTTGGCAATTTATGCACAAGTCTTTTACAAATGTTGCACAAGTGTTGACAAGTGTTGCACAAGTGTTACAAAAGTGTCTTTCACTATTATTCAAAATGTAGAGGGTAGACAGCATTTTGGTCTTTTAGCAAAACTAGATAACGGTTGACAATTATATATAAAATTGTATATCAATAAAGTAAATAATTGAACAAACTATATTATTGTTTTAAAGGGGGGGGAAATAGAAGCCAGCGAGGAAAATCTTACTGATCAAAAGTCATTACTAAAACCGCATAGGAATCGTGTCCCGTTCCCTGATAAATCTTCCCTAACTTAGGATAAAAAATATGTGGAAAAAATGACAGAAATTTATTGATTTTGTGTTAGTAGTAAAGGTTGATGGGTGTTTTAGAGTACATCTTTATTCATTTCTTAATACATTTCAAAATTTAATTAAAAAAATTTTATTTATTTTATATTATAATTTATGAAATTAATTTAAATAATTTTAAAATTTTAAAAAATTTTTTAAAAAATTTAAAATATTTTTAAACAAAAATTTATGGGTTTTAAAGTTATTTAGGAAAATTTTCCCGGGAAGGGAATTTCCCACCTCGGGAATGAAAAGGTAATCATATTTGATTAAAGAAAAAGGGAGGGGGGTAAAATTTTATTGAAAGGGGGGGATAATTTAACCCGTACTCCTAATAATAAAAGGGTTTTCATGATATAAAGGTACCTGCATCAAAAGTACGTCACAACATCGACACCCCCCATGAGAGGATATTAGTGTAGTTTTTAGGAACCCCTTTTCAACCCCCTGGGAGGGTTTGGGAGTTGCATTGTGTTCAAAGAATGAGACCCCCTGTTAAAAATGGGGAGAGAAAATATTAAATAACATTAATTTTTTAAATTAGATTTTATATTTTATTAGAGCTTGCTCTTTCAAGAAGTTCACAATCGTTCGTACACAAAACCATAAGTAGAACAATAACAATCAAGAGGAATGTGAAAATGTATATTTCAAAGTGAGAGAATGATCAGCAGAAACATCCTTTCAATTTAAACTTAGAAGCATGAACAATTTCCTGAATATTAAGAGACACTAGCAACTCGTTACAGAGTTTGGGAGCTGATTACAAAATGTTTCCTTCTTCAAATGATTTCACCTGAACAGCACGAGGCTTCTAGTCAGACGAAAAATGTCGTCAGCAATTCTTAGAAACTGTCTCCAGTCAGATATAAAACGTCCAAACATATCAAGAAGAAGGTAATAATGGAACCTGGGGAAAACATCGGTAATAACTGATATATTAGACTCTAACAGCCAAATTTCCATCAGACATAAAATATCAAGACAAAACTCGTTTAGAACTTCATTAGCATGTATAATGTTATTTCTCATTGAACAGATATCCAATTATGTTACCTCCAGGAGTTTTAGAATAGCTTCAGGAAACTATTGGAAGACGGCAATTTTTATTAATTTGTGACATTACAGTACCATCTCCAGACAGTCTGAAGTAGAGGTAGTGAAGAATAGCACCTTGATGAACATCTCTGGAGGAACAGTTTGCGTAACGGAAAGAAGTTTTTTTTTATCGCAATTTCTAGATCATCACCATTACAAAAATCTTTCAGCTTGGTGGATTATACTTCTGAGTCAATTTGCTGAGGTGTGACTAAGGCCCTGGCAATGGAAACACAGGGTCAATAAATATTATATTAACCACACATCTTTGTCAGGCCATCATATATACAATTTACCATCAGTTCTGAATGATGACTTATCGCATTTCGGATTTAGATAGATGAATTGCTTCCTTCCTTAAATTTTGAAAAACAGACCCCAGGGACACTCCCTCACTCATATAGTAAGGATTGTTTTTGGATTCTTGGCAAGAATACCCAAAATATTATCGCCATCTCTACATGATGGTGAAAGATCAAACAGAGATAGCTTAGGCAGTATCTTATCTAGAGACAAGGTTCAGGGTATATATTAATATTTCACGAGTATATGCTAAAATAAAAATAAAAAACTGCAGAGGCAAAAAGTAATTTTAAAACAGGAAGGAAAAAATGTATACTGTCTATCGAAAAATATAACTGAATATGTTGTATGCAAGAATACTTGTGGTACAGTAATGATATACAAAATGTTGGGTAAACAAATGAAAAGAACAGTATATATACTAAATACAATAAGTAGCATTGAACGAGAAAACTGGATATTATTAACTAGGTAAAATATAAAGGTGACCACATTGTATCCCGCAGCAGCAACACCAAAGATCACATACTGGTGACCACATTGTATCCCGCAGCAGCAACACCAAACGAACATTTTACATTAGTTAGGATTCTCAAACAATGTTTTTGTTATTAGAAGACTGTTATATCCCTTATAATGAAACATTACTTATTTTTATTGGGCCATTCTAGATGAGATCTAAATAACATACAACGCCCAAGAAAAGTTAACCCAGTACCTGGGTGTCAGTAACTGGTACATATAATGCTGAAACTTGTTCACTCCCAAGATAAGTTAGTTCAGTACCTGGTTACAATATGCCTCTGTAATCTATTGGCTCTATACCCCACCAAATTGTGTACAATAATAAACCTCTGATAAATCTATGAAGATAATCATTCCGTATCAGGATTGGAAGTCAGTATTCCAACGATAAGTGGATAAGTAGTTTTCATTATGTCAAGATTACAACTCATTCCGTGCAGTAGATTTTTTTGGTTCATTTTCCATTTGAAATTGCATCTCATGATCCAAATCTTCTTTCATTTCCTCAAGTTCAGCTTTAGCTTCTGAGAGTTTAAATTTCTCAGAGTGAAGCAGCAAGTTCTGCTTAAGTGGCAGTGACTCCCAGAAAGCACGAACCTGTTTACATAAATAATGCAATAAGACTCAAAAATATATGAAACATTAATCTGAAATAAAATTGTGTTAGCTTCACGTTACCTGAATTTAAAATAGTATTATATTTTTTCAATATTTTTATGATTTTAAAAGGCACATTTCCACAAACAAAAACAAAAAGGCACGTCGCATAATGAGCCTTTTTGTGAGCAATAAGTTGGTCATAGGACATTAAAGCTTTATTTAAATATAAAGTTTTCCTTATGGCGCTCTAGTCAGAGCAAAATATTGTCCCAAAAATGCTCTCAAGCCAAAATTTTGACTCACATAATACATAAATGGTATTATATAACATGTATCGAAATACAATAAAATGCCGGAAATGTACCATTTTGACTGTGTCTGCTATGACTCATTTATTCCCTTCTAAAATTATGCTCATTTTTTTCTTCTCCTGTCGGACTATATTCTACCAACGCACGTAACTTCTCAAGCATCATTTTGGAATGTTTACATTGGTCATATTTAGGAATGTTTACATTGGTCATATTTAGGAATGTTTACATTGGTTATATTTGAAAACTAACATGATTATTTAAATTATTTGTACTGAAGCATTATTTAATATATAATGCCTGTGGCTAGGATGAAAAAGTTGATTGTCTTATTTTTTAAGACAAATTTTATAGTCAAAAAAAAAAAAAAAATAGTGAAGTCTGATGCACCGTAAAGTACGAAATAATGAATCATTTTTGTGTGAATTATATTTGGTTGCTAAGATATGCATGGAA